TTAGCATCTCAAAGCCTTCATTCATCAATAGGGGAAAACAATATTCTTACCTCATGGGCTTGGATGCAAGGATTAAAAAAAAAAAAGCAGTGTACATTCCATGCTATTTGACACTTAAAAATACTCAGTTCAAAATAGCTATTATTGCTTCTGTGGAATCCTGGCACTGTGGAATCCAGCACTATGCATCTTGGAGTTGAGTGAGGACTGAGCCCAGTTCTGGCCTCTGTGGACTGTGCTACTCCAGCAAATGAACTTTGAGGAATACTTGCCAACTCTAACATCATGTCTCATGATTTGGTGATGTTCAGAGATGTGACTGTAGACTTTTCTTAGGAAGAGTGGGAATGCCTGAACTTCTATCAGCGGAATTTGTACAGAGATGCATTGTTAGAGAACTATAGCAAGTTGGTATCACTGGAATGTTCCATTACTAAACCAGATGTGATTACCCTGTTGGAACAAGGGAAAGAGCCCTGGATGCTTGTCTAAGATGAGAAAAGATGGAGTCTAGGTTTGGAATCCTAGTATGACACTAAAAAGCTATTTGAAGAAAAGAATTTTTATGAAATTAGTTTATCTCAGTGGGAAATAATGGAAAGAGCCAAAAGTTGTGGGCTCAAAAACTCTTTTTCAGAAAAGATTATGAATATAAAAGATTTGAGGGACAAGAGGGTCCCCTATGGTATACTTCAGGCAAGTGACAAAAAGTACCCCTGAAAAAAATTTCCCTTACAGGAAGCTCTCATCCCTTGCTTTATATCAGAAAAGTCAGAATAGAGAAAAACCCTGTGAATGCATGGATTGTGGGAAAGCTTTTAGAGTGCACTAAGAACTTACTTTCCATCAGATAATCCATACTAGTGAGAAAGTATAAAGAATGTGGAAAAACTTTTTGACAATGTGCCCATCTTAGTAGATGTCAAAGAATTAATACAGGGGCCAGGGATATGGCTCAGTGGAATAAGCACTTCCCTGGCAAGCACAAGGGCCTGAGTTCAAACCCTAGTTCTGAAAAAAAAAAAAAAAGAATTAATACATATGACAAACTTTATGAGGGTAAAAAATGTGGAAAGATTTTTATGTGTAGCTCAAACCTTTGTGTACATCAAATAATTCATGTTGGTGAGAAGCCATGTGTATGTAAAGAATGTGGGAAGGCCTTTTGAGTGCAAGGGCAACTTAATCTCCATCAAAGGATTCATACTGGTGAGGAACCCAATGAGCGTAAGGAGTGTGGAAAGACCTTTAGACAGTATGCACACCTGACTTGACATCAGAGGCTTAACATTGGTGAAAAGTGCTATGAGCGTAAGGAATGTGGTCAGGCTTTCTTGTGTAGCATAGGCCTTCTAGCTACACAAACTTCATACTGGTGAGAAACCCCATGACTGTAATGAGTGTGGAAAGGCCTTTAGAGTGCAGCAGCAACTTACTGTCCATCAGAGAATCCATACTGGTGAGAAGCCTTATGGTTGTAAGGAATGTGGGAAGACCGTTAGTCGTGGCTATCAACTAACTCTGCACAAGTGAATCCACACTGGTGAGAAGCCATATGAGTGTAAGGAATGTCAGAAATTCTTTCATCATTACTCAGAACTTATTTCCCATCAAGGTATTCATATTGGAGAGAAATCTTATGACTGTAAGGAATGTGGGAAGGCCTTTAGGCTGTTCTCACAACTTATTCAACATCAGAGCATTCATTTTGGTAAGAAACCCTGTAAATGTAAAGAATGTGAGAAGACATTTAGACTGCTCTCCCAACTTACCCAGCACCAGAGCATTCATACTGGTGAGAAGCCCTATGATTGTAAGGAATGTGGGAAAGCCTTAAGACTTCATTCATCACTTATTCAGCACCAGAGGATTCAGTCTAGTGAGAAGCCTTACAAATGTAAAAAGTGTAAGAAGGCATTTAGACAGCATTCACACCATACTTACCATCAGCGAATTCATAATGTGACTTAAATAAAAGGAAAATCATTTAGCCTTTGTTTCTTATATAAACTGTATTTACCGGCAGCCAGAAATTGATAACGTGAAGGTGAAGATTTGTATAGAGAATTCCAGCAAGTAAATGCAGAAAAATATATAATTGGAAAACTCTACTAGAAAAAAAAATATATCTAGGGGACAGTTCTCCATAGAAATTAAGGACATGAGTGAAAGATTAGCTTGAACTTTTAGCAAGTAGATCAGGCTAATGACAACTGAACTCACATATCACCCTCAACCTCATGAAACTAGGACCATAAAATATTATGTGCCTCATAATATTATAAAGTACAATGTACATATCTTACCAGGATATTGAACCTATATTTAAGCCTGAATACCTAACTTCTATTTAGAGAAAATTAAGAAATGAAAATAACATGATATGACAAATCTAAAATATAAGTAATTCTACAAGATGAATGAAATGATTTCTCAAAGAATGAAATGACAAGGAAAAGAAAGGTGGAACTATTCAGAGACTTACAAATCAAATGCCATGAGAGAGTGGTTCTTAATGAGATCATGAGTTGAACGAATATTGAAAATAAGACATTTTTACAACAACTGGAATGGGAACATTGAGTTTTTGTTAGGTATGGATAATAGCACTGTAGTTACATGAAAAATCTCTTTGTTAAGAGATAAATTCTGGCTTTCCTACACAGAAGATATATGACATCTAGAGTGTCCTTTAAAATGCTCTTGTGGAAGAAAAGTGAAGGTGAATAAATTTGGCAAAATGATGGCAAACTGAATCTTGAATGCATAGTTTTTCTTTGTTTTGTGATTCTTTTATGGATTTTTTTTTGTATTTGAAAATTTCCTTAGTGTTCTTTTAAAGGTAAAATCAACTGTGAAACTATAACCAGTTAGAAGTGAATTACTTTTTAAAATGCCTATATATTAAACACTGTGCACCAGGCATTTTGGCACACTGCGGTAATCGCAGCACTTGGGAAGCTGAGGCAGGAGGATTGCCATGAGCTCAGTGTCAATCTGGGCTACATAGAGAGACCCTGTCTGAAAAAAAAGTTGTGGAAGTTGCTAGTGCTTTACACATTGGGATCTTAATGTATACAGGACATTAACATTAACTGTTCATACTATTTGTTCGCCTCTTAATACTATTATAATACTTGTCCCATTTTAAGCACTTCTTGTGTTTCAAAAATGAATAAAGAAAGCAACTGCAACTACAAAAAATCAGCTATCATCATCATCATCATCATCATCATCATCATCATCATCATCATCATCTACTATTATTTAATTCTTGCGGCAGGGAGGGATTATTAGCTCAATTGCATGCATGGGTAAATGGATTTAGCGAATTTATCACTTTCTTCAGCCATCACTTTCTTGTGCTGCTCAGCTACTAACTGTGCTTCACTAGATGGGGATGTCCAAGAGTCTAGGTGACTCAGAGGGAGATGTTCTTTCCCAGATTAAGTAGTCCCTTCCTATCCACAGGGGTCATATTCCAGCCCCAGTTAATACCTAAATTCTCAGATGTGCAACCTTAGACAGACCTGTGTGCTTATGATAAAATTTAGTTTATAAATTTCCCAGTGTAAGAGATTAACAACAGCCAATAATAAAATAGAATAACCATAACAATATACTATAATAAAGGGTTTTAGAATTTATGAATTATTTATTTGTGGAATTTTCCATCTAATATTTCCTTTTGTATGTCACTAAGACTATACAAAATAAAAGACTGGCTAATAGGAGGACTTTTATAATGGGGCTTCCAGAGTTAATTTTTTATTCAGAACTGAAAACTTTAGAAGAGTTTCTGAAGTCCCCCCAAGTCTACTGGTGATGATACAAGGGTCGTGAGCATGCGTGATGGGCCCAGCAGTATGTCTGAGGAGTGGACTGGGCAGGATGAGTGCTTGGTTTAAACCCATTCTCATGAAGCTTTGTCTGGTGGTCCTGATGGGGGCATTGTTCAGTGTCAGTAAGAGCAGAGTTGGGGGCCAAAAGGGGGAATTTGAATACATCAGTTTCTTGGTTCAGAGCCTGCTCTTTTTGGGTGGATTAGAAGGACTCCCACGACTGGAGCTGGAATCAGTGCAGCGGTGAGGGGCACAGGGAGCTGTGTATTTGTAGAATGGGCATTTGCAGCGATGAATTTACAGATGCTGTAGGGTGAGGGGCTCAGGACGGAATGGTGAGGACCAGCTCCAGGCTGCTTCTCTTGTAGACCTTGCCTTTCCCTCTGATAAGCTGGGAAAGGGACGCCTGCTCCACGGATCAGATTCCATAGTGCTCTTCAAGACTTTCTGTAGATTCATCTTTACTTAATCAGCAATTGTTGCTTTTGCCCAGAGCATTTCAAAGTATTTCTTTTAGAAAAACTTCTTGAGCCAGTCTGAAACACACATATATGCACACCCTTCTTAAACAAAAGAAAATATTTATTTTGAGACATTGCTCAGTGTGTTTGTTTAATTATCCAAGTTAGTCATGGATTATATTTAATCCATGAGTTTATTGTCCCCACTGAGTGCCTGCAACTTGCTGTGGCCATAGAGTTTCATAGACCAGAGTTAGTGTTCATGAGCAAAAAGCTCATGGGTTAGGGTTTGCTTTTTGAAAACAGTGCTCCTTTCTCAAGTTGAAAATTTATCTGATCTTTACTGTAAGAAGATGGTATTGGGTGACTGAGAGGCCCCTGTACAGGAGTTCACATGTGGTCAGTAATGACAGAGCCTTGTGTGAGGCCACCAGGACCCAGCGGGATGCCCAGTGCGACTTTAGTCAAGAAAATAGAATCAGTGCAGCAACACAGATGACTTTAAGAGATGAAATAAAGTTAAATGAATGAAGCCAGGCTCAACAGCACCACCTTTATGATTCCATTTGTTTGACGTCTGGAGAAGGGAAAACTATAGGCATATGATTAGATTCAAGGTTGCTAGGGATTAGCAGGACAAGGTGGGGCTCTTACAAAGGAGCATGAGAGAACTTTGGGCATTGAGGAAAATATTATAGGCCTTGATTTTGCTGTGCTTCCATGATTGTGTACGTTTGTTAAAATTTCTAGAACTATAACCTATAAAGGTACATTTTGCTACATCCCTGAAACCCAGAACAAATTAAAATAAAACCAATGACATTACTTTAATAGGCATTTCTCCTATGCCCAATTCTGGTGGCATTTACCTAAATTTACTACTAGGAGAGTAATTCTTTGTGCTTGAAACAGTAGGATTAGTAAGCTGTAAGCCTGCTGGGTTTTATTGAATAACATTCTACAGATGTGACAACACAGAGTCATGGTCCTTATTCACAAATTTAAGTGTTTGCAGGCATTTCTGAATTCTCAGTGGAGGATTATGTTCAGAATGGTTTTAAGGTTGAATGTACTTTATTAAATTTTTGGTCTTTTGAAAATTAGTAATTCGCGCTTGGTGGCATGGATGATTCCCTATTACTGAGTGCAAATTATTCATCAGACCAAAAAAAAAAAAAAAAAAAAGTCTCTCCTAGTTAAAGGTTTTGCTTTAGCCCTTGATGCTAAAGCCATTTATGAAATAGCCTAACAAAGCATGGTCTCTAGTATAAAATAGTGGTGTGTGATTTGCAGGAAAATGACGTTTTTGTAAAATACGATAAACTTTGAAAAGATATAGAGTTTATAAGTCCCCTGTCATGGTGTAGAATACATACAGCTGGGTTGGGTCATTTCAGGGTTTTCTTGTTTTAGATAAGTTGGGTTAAATACCCTGGCATGGTGGCCTTTATATGTGCAGTTGCTTGGAGTGTGCATTTAAGGCAGGGTCGCTGGCTTTTATGTGGTTGCCTAGAAGATGGGAAGATGGTTAGTGGAGGTTGAGAAAAAGAGCTGAGAAAATACGTTTGAGAGGGAGCCTGCATTCAGGCAAGGTAAGCTCTTCCCTGGATGTTTCTTTTGGTCCTTGTCTTGAGGCATGGTGTAATTCATGGACCTCAGACTGCTTCTTCTATGGGCCTTGCCCTGCCCTCTGATAAGCTGGGAAAGGGATACCTGCTCCACTGGTCATCAGATTCCATAGTGGATCTGATTCCAGATTCCATAGAACAACCCTGAGTTCTTGGATGAGTGACTCTAGGAAAGTCCTTCTTCTCTCATCTAGGAAAAGAAAGTATTTCCCCAAACTTGTGCAGATCCTTCTGTGCCTCTGAGTATCCTTGGTCTGGCTGTCTGCATAGGTGGTGCTAAATTAATACTTGGCATAAGAGGCCTGTGCTTCTGCGAGATTCCCAGCCTGCATGATGAGTTGCAGTTACAGTTAGGCTCAAGGAGGTGGCTTGTGCCACCCATAGCCTGCCTAACAAAGCTGCTTGAGTGCCACACACCTTGTGGAGTTAGGTATGAGGGCCGACTGTGGGGGAGAGAGAGTCTGGAGAACCACGGGAGGCTCGTGAAGGGAAGGATGTCCCTGAAGAGCCTGGACTGCAGCCCAGAAAACCTTGCAGGAGCAATGGTGGCAGCAGCTCTCTGTCCAGGCCTCCTGCTTGCTTTGGGAAATGGTCCTGGAAACACCACAGCTCTTCCCTGGGGCCTAATTAAACTGGCAGTTACCTGCACATCAATCTGGAAGCTGAAGGGAAGCTTTGATATCAAATTGTCATCTGTTGCAGGATATTAAGGTAGATGTGATTTATATTAGCCACAAAGCACTTTCATGATACCTTATTACTTTATTAAAGTGATATTTTCTATTATAAAAGTAAATACCTACTGCTTGTCAAAACCAGATAAAGACAGGTAGAGAGAAGTACCCATGAGCCTGTCTCCATATAGAGCTGAATTTACTATTTTGTTGCATTTCTTTCTCTTTACTTTAAAAAATTGTTTATTTGTTTATTTATTTATTTGATACAGGGCCTCACTACGCAGTTCAGACTTGTAGTAAACCTCTGTGTTAGCTTCCCCAGGGTGGGATTATAGGTGTGTACCATCATGCCCTTGGGGCAGC